TTTTTAAATGGAGAGTTGTTTTTCTTATAAATTTAACATATCTGAATGATTATCTAGTATTTTTTTATAGTTATTATTATTTTAAAATCATCATAATAAATTCAACAGCATTAATTATAATATTTTAAAAAATTATAAAAAAATTAATATCTTATACTTTTTAATAGATTTACAGAGCATAATTGAAGAAATTCAGTAACTGAAAGATTATATTTATGCAGTCAGTGTTAAATGCAAGAATTGAATTTAATTTAGAAAAAATTACATTGTTTTTGAAAAGATCAAAATTGTCAGCTATTTCTTCAGTTATTTACACTACAATGAATAAAGTTCTGAATACATATTTGATGACATAAGATTACAAATTATGTCAATTTTTTGTCAAATGTCAAAGAGAGGAAAGATAACTGCTGCTCTTTAGATTTGAACTATCAGTCTTTGAGAAATTAGTGTGAAATTCTATCAAGTGAGCTAATCTGACTAGTAGTAGTTGAAAAATTTGGTCATTTTAAAATTAGTTAATCCCCAACATTGTATCTTTTTAGAATTTTTTATGAAACCTTTGTTGGTTCTTTGTAGGTGTTTATCAGTTACTTAATATTGTTTGTTAGTGAATAATTGTAAATATTTTTGATATAATCCCTTTCCCACTTTATTAATTGCATATTACTAAACTATGATAGTCACAAATATATATGTAATAAGAAAATTCCAAATAATACCACAAAGAAATTTTATTACTACAAATTTCAATCTAATACAAATTTGCAAATTTTAATTACTTGCTTGATGCACATTTAAAATTCTCTAATCGCTTTCAGCAATTTGAGAATGACTTGCACTGTGTAAAGTGCTAGAAAAAGTATTGCCAACTAGATCTTTAAGTTTATGATCAGTTATAGTATCTCTAGAGATAATACAACTGTAGATAGTTTGAGGATGTATTTATGAAAGAAAAGTTACATTGTTGGATTTATTTGTGGATTATATAAGAAATTTGAATTGATACACCAAAGAGAGAATTGAAAACAATCCATTAAACAAAGTATCAATTATAAACAAAATGTATCAAACCTGATTGCACTTTGCACATAGTTTTGAAAGTTACTAACATTTTCAGTCTGCATCTAGGACATTCTTCAGGAAGATCAGATTCTATAGCCTAGATTTATTTATATATTGGTAATATATAAGTAAAATCCTGCTGTTAATATTTTGATGACTGCTGATATAAAAACAGTATTTCTGACATGTACTGATAATAAGTATTATAGTTTGTGATCCCTATTTCAGCATCAAATTTCTATAAATAATCTTTATCACTCTCCAAAATTTTTTAATATTCATTCTTCTAAGCATAATTGAGTTGGAGCATTAAGAAAGTCTGTTCTATGTGGCTTACAGAATTGTGTTCAGACAACTAATTTACTATGCCTAGTTTAATTTTAACTATCATGTACTTAATGATTCAGTTTATTTCAGAAGTTATTAATTGCACAGAAAATATGTATTGCATTGAAAAATTGTCTTGTAAATGCATCAATCTTAAAATGCATTCACAAGGTAACATGTGGTTAATCAGGACCTAAACAAACTTTAATATTTATGATTTTCTTTACAGCAGTAATGATCTAGATAAAACTATTAGAAGCAGTCCTACATTATTATACTGTTTGGCAATGAATTTGTAAGATTGTGTAAAAGAGTTTTTTAGATCAAAATATTCAAGCTTTAGTAAGTGCGTGAATATTTTGATCTAAAAACATCTTTCTTCTATTGGACCTCTTAAGTCTTTGGAATAGCATATCAATTCATTATTTTTGATTTTTTTTATTAATGGATAAGTTGTAAAACAATTTTATAGTTTTTTTTTTTTGTTCATTAATAAACAAAAATGGAGAATCTGATATTCAGATTTCCTTTGAAAATTTATGAATCTTATTTATAAAGAATAGTTTCCTGTTATGCACATTTTCCAATTAATCTATCAAAATTGATGACATCATTTTATGATTTGAAACAATACTATTTTGAATAACACTATTACAGTGGTGATTGGTTAATGAATAGTTTGGTTAATGAAAAAATCAGATAATGAACATTTTCACGAAAGATTTTTATGTTTGCGAACAAACACATGTTTGGATAATGAACACCTCACAGAATAAACACAAGAAGAAGCAAACGTAAAATAGTGAATACCAATTGGTCTTCCCTTGTCTTCAGGCAACAATTCAGAACTTTTAGGAGCGTGGGAGACGTCGATATCAATACTCAACCCGGTATATACTGATTGGTTACTATTCCTCCGAACTTTGAAACTCTCCCTTGTAATTCCAGCCTTTTATTTTTCTGACAGAAACAATTCTTTTATAGTATTCACAAAACTGTCAGGCAGGCACTTGTTAAGTTTTATGTCTGTTTTTATTTTCAAAAGGTGAGAGTATAATAGCAAATGTAGAGAGTGGGCAGATGTCTGACATTGCTGGGCAGTATGGCTTGAACAGGTCTACTGTAGGGTGCAGTTATCTAAGAAAGATACAGTATAATCGAGAAGACTCAAGCAGCTAAAGGAATAATAAAAATCACATATGAGAAATAAATAACATTGAAGAGCTCATAATAGAACCTGAAATGGATCTGACAACAGAAGAATGCTAAGAACTCTTGAATGAATAACACCAAGAAACTCAGCGAGGTGTTTTCTTCTGAAAAAGAGGATTAATGCCGATATCTGCTATTAAACATCAGTGGGAGGATGTCAGAACAATGGTGTTAGAATGGCATCCAAACCAGATTGAGGTTAATAGGCTTAGGGATCTCTACAATTACAATGCTATTAATTACTTCTGAAAAACCGTGAATAAGATAGAAAAGCAATCAACGTTAGACAGATTCATTAACCCCTACAAATGGAAAAAATATGACTAATAAAAATGCAAGACTGTGTATATATGTATTTTTATTATTACATATAAATAAACATAGTAAGAAAGTATATATTTTTTATTTTTTGAGGTCTGGAGACGAATTAATCAAATTCTTGTAAAAACCTAAGGTAAATTGATAATCAGTTAACGAGCAATTCAGATAGCGAACAAAGTCTTGAACGGATTATGTTCATTAACTGATCACCCACTGTACTACTAATTTTTTACAGTAATCATATATAATATGTTTTTTTTACAAATTTATTATATAATTTATATTAAAAATACTTTATTATATGATTAAAATACATATAATAAATTATTTGTGTCAATGTTCACAAATAATATAATGTATAATATAGTTTGAGAGATATAATATGAATATCTGCAATTATATGCAGACATTGTTGTTAGTTATATAATGTAATGAAATGATTGTTATAAATACAAATGTTAAAACATGTATTATGTCAATTTAATAATGACAGTTAACTTATTAAATTTTTAGAAATTTAAAGATTTTTATTTTTTTATAACTTGTTTTTATTTTTATGTGAACCATAGTTCACATAAGAATAAAAATAATATACATTATCATAAAGTAACATAAAATAATGTAAAACTTTATTAGTTTTGTGATATTACTGTATTACCAAATTGTACAAATTGTATAAATTCCTTACACATTTTGATAGTACCAGAAAATCAAAATACAAATAATAAAACACTTGAGAAAGACATCTAAAACAATTTCAAATATATTATATTTCAGCAAAAGGAAACTATAAGAATTTTAAATCATTATTTTTCGAAACATTTGATTATACTGTATCAAGTACTTGAATCTTGCTATCTTTTAGATTATATCAAATATAAATCATATTTGATATATGAATATAATTATATCTTTTAGATTGTATTATTAAGATATTATGTATTAAAGATATATATTATATCAAATATAATTTATATTTTATGTAGGCTAATAAAAGTTCATAAAATAACAATAATGAAGTTATTGTTATTTTATGTTCAAATTATTAAACATTTTTTTTGGATTTTATTAAACATAAAATCCAACAAAAAAAGTATGGAAATAATCATCCATGAACTAATATGTGAAAAGTGGAAGACTAGAAAGTGTTCCTTACTATACTGATCATCATACTATATATAGAGCTAACAACAATTGACTGTATTGTATATTATGGATAATTCAATCAATAAAGGATGAATGCACAATAAATACTGTCTTTTTGATGTTGATTAGAAAACTTATTGAATGACAAGAATAATTATTCATTAAAGAACATTGTAAATTAAGCTTGTTTACTACTTTAATTTACCAAAGCATTTAAGTATAATAAGTACAAACACATTAATTTTTAATAGATTTTGAGATATTATTATATAAAAATTACATTTCAATTCAGATATGAAAACTATATTCAGAAAAAACATATTTCTTTAAGAAATCTGTAATAGAAACAAATAAACAGAATCTTACACATTAAAATTCTTGAAACAGTAATCAAATGTAGTTAAAAAATTAAACAGCTAAATATGCATCTCAATAGAAAGCTGTTGAAATGCATAAAAATAAATACTTAAATTTATATGAAAACATGAATATTAAAACTAACTAAGTTTTGCATTTGTTGTCTGTAATAATTAATTAAATTTTTATTCCATGTTTTATTGTACAGTTTATGTGCTATTTTTTAATGTAGCTTTTTTTGTTTGTAATTATCAATTATATACAATAACAATTATAACAGACAATAAAGCATTTAATTTTAATCTCTATGTATTAATTTTATATAAATTTAAGTATTTTTTTTAATGCCTCTGAATAGATTTTTATGTTGCAACTATTCAGATGCATATTTAGGTGTTGTTACTGAAACATTTTCATTTAAAAGTATAAAGATTATTTGTCTTTTTTATTTCTGTTCAAATTATATTATATTATTATTATTATTAAACTTTTTCATTTGTTAAAGTTATAATTATTGTCAATAAAGTTTTAGAATAAATTAAGATTTTAGTATTAATGTATTTCATTTTCAGAGAGTTAAAGAACGGAAACATTACACTGATGATTGCCTTCAAGATGAAGATATTGAAGGTAAAAGATTATTTTCTGTTGAAGAAAAACTGAATAGTGAACAATTTGGAAATTATTTTGTTAAAGAATTAAAAGGAGAAGGTGAGTACAAAAATTTTTATTTTATACTTGCATTTGTGTATTTATTTTACAGCTTGTTTTAATAAAGAAGAAATTTGATACATGAAAATCAGCTTTAAAAAAGGGAATTAATTATTCAAAGTAGCTTTTGTAAAAGGATATTTTCAGTCATTTTAAATAACAATATAGTGTTGTTAATTTGAAAATGTACTGCTGTTTTATATTGACATTTTATTAGCAATTAAAAACCCCAAAATATAATTGTAAAGCAAAGAAGTTGAACAGAATTGTTTGTATAAACTAGTTATGAGAAATTATAGTTTATTTGCTTTTTGTGTTATATTACTTGTGTCATAGCTTGTGATAATTTACTATTTCATATAACAGCAATTATTTTAAACTAATTCTAAAATATTATCAGTTATTCAGATTTTTTGAATTTATTTTAATAATATTTTATATACATTAATTGTGAGAAACTGATGACTAGAATTTTATCATATTGCCTGATAGACAGCTTATAAATAACGATTTAATTAATGTTTTTGTTGTGTTTTTAACAATATGAAGTTATCAAACAATAAAACATATTTTCCTATGGATTCAATAGCTTTATTTGTATTTTATTTTTTTATTTTTATATATAAAATTTAATTTATCTTAGAATAGTTAGCATACATAAAATTTATTTATTTGAAGTATTGTTTTATCATACCAGCTGTACTCAGCAAAAAGAGACTACAATCTTATTACATCACCTGAAGTTCACTGAAAGAAAATTTTTTATTTAACAAATGGCTTATGGTAATAAGTTGAAAAAGTTTGTTAAATAAAGAATTTTCTCATCAAACTTCAGTTGATGTAATAAGATTGTAGTATTGTTTTATTTATTTTTTCTAATTTTTGTTAATGTACATATTATTAGATTAATGAAAACAATTACTGTTTATTTTATCCACTGTATTAATTATTATTAGTGTACTGACTCATTTTTATTGGATAGTATATCAATAAAATAGGCAGTACTAGAAAGTAATGATGCAACAAATAGTATATTCAGCTAGGAGCGTGGCCGAATAGCTGAATATTTGGCCAAACTATTCTGCTTGATTAACACATGTACGAAAATTGGTGTTCAAACTGTATTATGGCAAGGATCACGCACCCTGCTTTCTATTGGCCAGCTGTCACTATGCTTTGCTAATTGCGTTAATTCTTGACAGTTGTAGTGGACATACATAAACATCATGGCAGTATGTGATAAGTGATGATATCAAATGTGGATAACAATGAAATGACCTATATGTGTAAATAACAGAAAAAGAACAGAGAAGGACCACAAAGTGAAAATGTGAAAATAAATATGAAATTGAGTTGATAACATAATTGAATAACTCGAGGCAGGTTATTGGCGTGAAATTTGTGGCCATCAATGCTAAATAATTGTTTTCATAGATTTCAGAAAGCTAAATGCTTGTAATGAAAGTCACTTAGCATGCATGGGCAAAAGCCTGGGGCCCTTCAGGCTACCAAGCTGTATGGAATCTGTGAAATCATAACTGTGACTTATACCAACATCTTATCTGTCTCTTTTCTGTCCCAAATTTGTAAAATGGGAAATCTACAATGGAAAAGTGACAAATCAAAAGTATTGTGCACACACATTATAATGTATGCATAGGCATACATTCTTTTATATAAGAGTATATAGATGACTAAACTTCATAATAAGTAAGTAGTTTTCATTTGATTTGTTACCTTTTTTGATCTCTTAAAAAAATAACTTCGTTATATTACTTTTCCTTTGATCTTTTACATAAATAAGCAAAAAATTGCACTTTCTCGAACTTGAAATATATGTTCAGCATTAATAAAAGTTACCAAAATGATTAATTTACTGTGTTTTGTTATGTGTAATTAATTTGTTATTTCTTATTCCTGTTTTTAGGTATTCGGTATTCGGTATTTGGCCGAATAGCAAAACATAGGTCGAATAGTTTGAATACCGAATAGTAATCGAATATTCATAAATAACCTTCAATTTAGCATTAGCTTTTGTTGTTTACCCATACTATTGGTTGAACCAAACAAAATATAATGGAATATTTTCTGCATATTCTCCATATGTGGACTACTTTACTCATCAGAAATTATTTCCCTCTATAGGATTTATTATTATATCCTTTATATTTATAGGATTTTGGTATATTATGTACCAGTATTTATATTAAATTTTGTATTTATAAGTACAAATTCAAGTTTTGTCATTAGATATTACATATGTTGGTAACTAAATTTTATCTTGATAGGAATATACTCACTGGAAATCAATATTTATACATATAATTATACTAAATAGATAAAATTCAAAATACGAGGCGTGTCCGGAAAGTAAGTACTGTTTCGTTCTACCGCCATTGCAGTGGTAGTATCACAGTTCAGCGCCTGTGCACATGTCTCTCTGGTTGATTGTCAGTCCAGTGATGCCATTACAGCCGGATTGTGTTGTTTTTCCACGTGTTAGTGAGCGTTCAATATGTTTAAGACTATTGCCAATCCCGCCGACTGCGAAGTGCATTCTGTAATACGGTGTTTTGAACGCAAAGAATGTTAAGCCAGTTGAAATTCATCGTCAACTTGTAGAGATTTATGGTGAAAATGTAATGAGTGATGGAATGGTTAGAAAGTGGGTTCAACAATTCGATGCTGAATGCACTGATGTTCATGACGAAGCATGGAGTGGCTGGCTGTCTGTTTTCAATGATGCTTTGGTTGCAGAAGTGAATGAAAAAATTCCTGAAAACAGATGGTTCACAATAAGATTGCTTTGTGATGAGTTTCCACAAATTTCAAATACTGTTTTGCATTAGATTGTTGCAACAACCGATGTTCAGCAGTGGCTGTCTTCACTGGTGGCATCTTTCTTTGAAGAGGGTATAGACAAGTTTGTTTCCCGATATGACAAATGTCTGAACAATGGTGGTAACTATGTAGAAAGATAGTTTCAGACATGCTCTTTCATGTAAAGATAAATTTTGTTTTGAAAAAATATTTTTTATGCGAGTTTTTCCAACATGGTATTTACTTTCTGGACATGCCTCGTATATTATGATTGTTAATTTCTGATCTGATAGATATCTTACAGCAGGTATATTTAACAGATAGGGTGCATATTATGGTATTTGATTTCATTTCCTTATACCCCTCAGTAAAGCTTCAATTGTGCATCTGTGCTCTTAGGGATCTTTTGCTATGGACCTGCTCACTGAAAACAGGTCAGAACTCACTTACCTGATGTGTTACACACCTCTATATCCCAATTTAATAACAGCACATATTTACAAAAACGGGGAGTGCTCGTGGGCAGCCTCCTTTCAGGAGACCTATGCAAGTTGGTTGTGAGTCTGTTGGAAGAAAAAGTCACACTTGAATTCATACTAAACATTGTTGTATACAAGAGATACGTTGATGACCTGTTTGTTCTTTGGAGAACTGAGCCTGATGTAGACTGTTTTTTACAACATATGAATGATAATCCGTATGGACTAACCCTTAGATTAGATAAGTAATACAGGTAACCCCCGTATAACACGGTAGTTACGTTCCAAAAAATTGCCGTGTTATGCGAATCCGTGTTATACGAAACAAAGAACTAATACGAAAAGGAGGGTTAGGTTCCAAAAATTAAAAAACATGCTAATATATTTTCATAATTAAGATAAATATCTTCATTAAAATTTTTTAAGTGATACATATTAATATAAATTAAACAATGTTTTCTTCGTCATCACTAAAAACACTATTAATTAACCGAGAGCGTTTTATTTTTGGCAAGTTATCCTTATCCTATGAGCATTTTTCTGCATTATCTTCAGATCCGTGCTTTACCTTTTGCAAAATGTATGTAATTTTAGATTGCTTGCTTATAGTTAAAAGGTCTTTATAAATTTCCTTATATGGTGCTAAGCACTTATGAAGAATAAAGCAAGTATGGAATAAGGGAAAAACATTCGGCAACATCAGAAGCAGAAGCGTCGCGATCTGGCAACATTGAAACAAGTTTCGAGAAGGACCATGTGTATCGACAGAAGGCGAGAAGAGAAAATTTACATACTTAAGTACTAATAATTCACGAAAATTATTATTTTCGTGAACTATTATTACTTAAGTATGTAAAAATTTATTACATTTTATGTTGTACGAGGGTTTTACCCAATTCTCAAACTGTGTCAGAGTAAATCCGTGTTATAAAAGTACCGTGTTATACGGGGGATGGTACCAATTCTCGAACTGTGTTAGAGTGAATCCGTGCTATAGAAGTGCCGTGTTATATGGGGGTTACCTGTACCAATGCTCACTTCTTAGATATTGACTGCAAGGCTACATAGTAACTGGCATCTATTACAAACTCAGCTATTTACCATTATTTATTCCTGCAAACTTGGCTGACCCATTTTCATATAAGGTGGCTGCCTTCCATGCACTGACAAGATGGGCTTTTACACACCATACAAATTAGTAGTGGTGTGCCGTCCATGGAAGCTGTGGAACTGTGGAAGCACCATTTCCCTTGTATTTTCTAAATATAAATACATATTGTGCAATTATTTTCATATTTTAATGTACATGGAATTAATTAAAATTAATATTTTATTATAACTGCATTATGTATATTATTACAAATTTATATACATGAGAAAAACAATGATATATTCAAATATAAATTTGTATATACATATTCCCAATGGAAGCGTATTGTCGAATACGGCGAAAATATTTGAATTGTATAAAGCAGCCAGATTATATGCATTTGCACATGTGCTTTACTGAGCACCAACCTCACACGGTTTAGCTCGTGGATGCTACATGCCAAAATATCATATAACGCTTCCAATGATTTTATCTAGGCCAGCACAGTTTCCCTATCATCAAATGTCACTGCACGCCACTGCAAATTAGGAAGACACTTTAAAAGAGCTAAAACATAGCTATAAAGCATGGGTATAGAAAGGACCTAATAT